TGGGTGTTATGCACAAACAATGAATCATGGAACACTACATCCAAAACTAATGATGTAATGTATGGTGATTAACATAACAATAAAAAATTTTTAAAAAATTACTTGGCTCTTTAAGAGCATAATTGAAGTCAGGGCTCAGAATTATTTTCATGACGCTAATCAGCCTATTTAGCAGTGTATTCTCTCATTGCACTTGGTAGTTTGGGCACATAAGAATACGGAATGATGGTTCAGTTGATAGGAATTGGAAATTGACAAGATAGTTGTTGTGGAAGGAAGCCTCCAAATGCTAATGAGAATATAATGAAGGTGATTGGCTTTCTGGTATAGACTGACCATGGAGAGGAATAAAGCCAGATTGCACCTGACAAAGTCACATAATGGCAGAGGGCCAAAAGATACCAGGTTGAAAAGCAAGTGGGAAGGGTGTGGATTAGGTTGAGAGGATAGGAGGATGTACAATACCTCTTACCTGTTGGACTCAAAACTAGTAGTTGATGAGTTAATCAAAAAAGTCAGTTAATGTGAAGAAGTCTTTAAAGACTCTCTAAGTTTATAAATTAAAATTCAATAATACTGTATTTTATGTATTCACCAATTTTTTTTTAAGCTGAAACCTCTTTGAATATTAGTCTGTTGATTGGAATTCTATGTTATCTTTCTTACATAAATCATACTCATGATTAATTGTCTACAATTTCCTGTTTCTCTTTTCCTTTAAGTAGAGCTAACCCTAGTCACTTGCAAAGAAATGAGTGTGATGTAGATTTCCTTGTCATTTTTCTGTTACTTGTAGATTTCATTTTCTAGCCATTTACTTTTTAGTCATTTCAAAGCATATGGTTTGGTTTTCATCAAAATAACCACTCTAGCTTTGCATTCAGACTTTATTAGTTTGCATAATATTTAATTCAGCTATATAATTATTTAAGTACAATTGGCATAAACACGGTTGGGACAGATACAGCTGACTCTTGGTAAGCATTTAATGTAGCTGGTAGAAAAATATGCAGAATAGAGATTAACCCACTAGCACTGTGCCTCAGTCAGTTAGTACACTTTACATAGGGAAGGAAGAGCGTGAGTTAATCTAGAGTCAGGTTACTGAGAATTTCTTTGGATGTCAGAAAATGGGATTTCAGAAGTGGTAACCAGGTATGGGGAATGGCTTAGCCAGTAATAGACGTTTGATCTCCCCCTCATTTTCTTTTATGTACCCTTTTGTTCTTCTGTGTCTCTTCCCTGGCATTTCTTTCTGTATCCACAGCCATGGAAACTCAAAATCATAAGGTCCTTCCTGTCTGAGCCTCTGCCCAGAAAAGAGTGTTCTCATCTTCATTTAAATAGAAAAGACTGAAATAGAATAAGTCTTCTTTGAATGTTTATTAAATGAAAAAGAGAAGAAGCTATATTTTCCTTAAGTCAGAAATGATGGAACTGTAACAGGAACTTTAATTTTAGTCTTTACTGGAATTCAGTGGAAGGTGTTGGTGGTATTTGGTCTAGTGGTGAAGAGCACTGCTACCACATCCTTCCCACCCGCTCTCCTACTACAGCACAGACACCAGAGGGGAGCTGGGTGATCCCCCCGGGAAGGCCTGCGGAAAGGGCCCGGCTCATTTCTTTTCCATGGGATTTAGAGTATTTCCTTTTGTGGGGTTTTTTTGTTTTTTATTGGTTTGTTTTATTTTTGGCTTTCCTGCCACTCCATAAATGAGAGAGATAATTTTTTTATTAAGATTTTATTTATTTATTTGACAGAGAGAGATACAGCGAGATAGGGAACACAAGCAGGGGAGTGGGAGAGGGAGAAGCAGGCTTCCCGCTGAGCAGGGAGCCCAATGCAGCCGATCCCAGGACCCTGGGATCATGACTCGAGCCAAAGGCAGACGCTTAACGACTGAGCCACCCAGGCTCCCTGAGAGAGAATTCGTAAGAAGCAATTCCTGAATCTTATATGTGCTCTGTTTTTATTTATATTTTATGTTTCACATTATTCATTTTTCTTACCAACTTTGGTAGACACATATACATACATACCCATATATCAAAGAAGGTATTGTTTGATAATTTTTTTCCTTAAAATGGCTACTAGCCATATTTAAGCTTAAGAATGTCTTTCTAAAGACAAACTATCCTTTTTTTCTTTCAAAAATTTGTAGTCTAATATATCTCCAAGTTTTTTATTTTAATATAGAATTAAAGATATAAAATGTTGACTTTATATAAGGTATGTTTTTTTTAATAGGAATAACTGAAGTTGAATGTTTAAGAAATTACACAAAATTTAGTTTGAAAAAGAACTCAATGTTTGGAATACATTAAATAAAACAACTTTCACTGTGTTACTTTTAACATATGTGAAGTTCCCAGAAGGTTTCACAGAATACTTTTGACTACCTGCGGGGGGGTAGTTAGAAGTCAAAGGAGTTTCATTTTCCTTTTATGCTCTTATGTACTGTTGTACCTCTCTTATGAGCAAATACTAATTTTCTTAATTTTTAACCTGCTTTTAAAAAAAAACATGCTCTGGGCTTTTTGTTTTCATTTTAGATATAATGTGTAGGGTAACGAAACATGCCTTTCATTAAATGTAGCTAATATTCAGGTTTTCTGATGGAAAGCTTGTCGAGTTACAGTACTGGAATTGTTGTTACTTCTATGCCTTTCTTCTTCTCCTTCCTTCTGTCCTTCCTAGCCTGCCTCTGAAAGGGTCTTTCCACTTCAGTAGCATCAACATTCTTAGCCTTCCCAAGACCCATGCACCAAAACCCTCATTGACCCCCAGAAGGCAGTGAGAACCAGAACCTCTCTCTTTCTTAATCATAATCTACTTTTGTCCCTCACACTCTTATCAATCAATTCTAGCAAATCTCCAAGTGAATTCTTAGTTGCTAACAATGGTTGTGCCCTCTTAGGTTAGCAAGGTCGTTTGTGGGGTCCCTGGGTGGCTCAGTCGGTTAAGCATCTGCCTTTGGCTCAGGTCATGATCCCAGGGTCCTGGGATCAAGCCCCGTGTTGGGCCACCTGCTCAGCGGGGAGTGTGCTTCTCCCTCTCCCCTGCTCGTGCTCTCTCTTTCTGTCTCTCTCTCAAATAAAATAAATAAAATCATTAAAAAAAACAACAGAACAAGGTAATTTGTTCCTGTTCTCATTTCCCCTGAATCAACTTACTGTTCAACTGATTGGACAGTCCACCTTGATTATTTTAGTTTGGTTTGGCCTTTCTTGAAGAGAAATAGCTCTGATTTATTTCTTTGTGCTGCTTCAACTTATTCTAGCTAATTGATATGATCCATAATTGACCTAGAAGTAGTCACTTGGGATATCGTTCCCATTTTATGTTGTCACATTATACAGTAAACCTTATTCATGCATTGACTCTCAGTTACTTGAAACAAAGAGGATTTAAGAGAGATTTGAAAAGAAAAATACTGAAGGTCAAAATAGAGGTTCCATTAATAATTGAACAATAGTTAAGTGATAAGGTGGAATCAAGAAAGTAGCTTTTTTGACCTTTAGTAGCTTGTATAATTTATAGCATTATAGTATTAAAATATTTAAATGTGAAATAATATACATACAATTTAAAACCAGAAGCCCCTGAAAGAAATTCACATTAATATTTTCTGTATTTCTTCCTAGCATTTCTCCTTGTGCATTATTTTTATGTAAAGTATATAAATTATCATAATCTAAGATAACGCCTTATATGCTCATATTTTTCTAATTATAAGCATTTTCCTGTATTACACATATTTTTCTTGTTTTTTTTCTTTCTTTTTTTTTTTTTCAAGTAAGCTCTTTCCCCAGTGTGGGGCTCGAACTCACAACCTTGAGATCAAGAGTCGCATGCTCCACCAGCTGAGCCAGCCAGGCACTCCTCTTATTTTTATTTGAAGAAATCCTGTATTCTTTCAGGTTGGCAGATTATGACCATACCCACCCACTCTCCTATTGGACACTGATGTTTTCCTTTTCTTCCTTACCATAGTCTAATATTTCAGTTATGAAGTTTTAGTGCCCAGAGATCACAAGGCGTCCATAAAGCTGCACTTAAATGATCTGGTGCTAGGGCCTCCCCTTGTTAACAGGTTTATCCAGTGACCCCCCCCCCCAGTTCTGATCTCTACTAATACCAAATTCAGATAATCTTATGATGCCAGTCGCAATAATAAGTGTCAGCTTGAGCTTCATTTTAAATTCCATTTATTTTCTAGAGGAACAAATTAAATTCACCTTGATAGACAAAACTTAATTAAAAGTAGAAATAAGACAGGAAATTTTGTGAAGAAAAATAATTCCATTATTCAGGCAAGCTGAAATACACTCCCTCTGATTTCTGGCTGCTTTTGTAGATAACTCTGGCATTGAAAAGTAGGGCGGGTAAAAAAAATTAAAACTTGTTGAAGATTTCATTCTTCCCCTTGCCTTCTTACCTTCCCAAGTAAAATCACATTTTCTTGCATTTTTGTGCTGTCTTCTTTTTCTTAAGTAATTCTTTGAATATCTTTTATTCTTTTTTTTTTTTTAAAGATTTTATTTATTTGAAAGAGAGAGAATGAGAGATAGCATGAGAGGGAAGAGGGTCAGAGGGAGAAGCAGACTCCCCGCCGAGCAGGGAGCCCGATGCGGGACTCGATCCCAGGACTCCAGGATCATGACCTGAGCCGAAGGCAGTCGCTTAACCAACTGAGCCACCCAGGCGCCCTGAATATCTTTTATGCTAACCAATTAGTTGCTTATATAAACCCAAAAGTTCTTGAGTTCTTTGAAACTGCATTTCTAAATTGTATTGTTGTGGATAGTTTTCTTAGGAGTTGCTTTGCTTTAAAAAATTATTTCTCCTTTAAATTTTATTTTTTACCTCTTTGACTCAAATTTCAATGGAAATATAGTTTATAAGTAAGCATACATTGGAGTCACTTTTAACTTTAAGGTTATCTTGTATATTTTACCAAAAGTATAACACTTTTATCCCCTACCCCCTTTTTTTAAAGGAATCGGCAGGCGGGGATCTTCAGTCTCCTTTAACACCAGAAAGTATCAATGGAACAGATGATGAAAGAACGCCTGATGTGACACAGAACTCAGAGCCAAGGGCTGAACCAACTCAGAATGCATTGCCCTTTTCACATAGGTACAGATTCAATTCACCCATCATGATTAAGTAAAATGTGTAGAGATGGAAACTTACTTGGTTTCAGATAAGTCTTGCAAAGTTACAACCCTGAGTGAAAATTCCAGTCTTTTTTTTTTTTAACTGTTTCTGTTAACCTCAGAAAGGTTTTTAAATAATTTATAGTTGATAGATGCCTAGATGGACTAGAATGAACATTTCCTTCATGTAGAAAAAGGGCTACTGAGTTAATTGCAATACAAATCATTTTTCAGTGAAACAGTGTATTATTGTAAATCTCTTCTACTTATTTTTTTAACATAGCCCTCAAAAGTCCCCTTTGTTAACCTGGGTTTCCACTTTCATCTTTGTTCTTGAGGGTTATAAATTTTTTTAATCAGCTTCCTACTCTGAAATCAAGCTTTACCATACTCTTAGAGGTGATCTCACCATTGGATATCACAGAAGGAAGAAAGTTATTGTTGTGACTTATATTCATGTTAATGTCAGATTTAGTTTTTCATACCAACTAACAGGAGATAAATCTTCCAGTAATTCTGAACTGTAAAAGAATTTGATATTTCAAAAAGATACAATTTATCTTAAATATGTTTTAAACCAGTTACAGTAATTATTTGCCATACTGGTGGTATTTTTCTAAAGTAAGGAGGTCTGCGGAACTGTGGCATTGCAAATATAAACAGGTACCTATCAGTTATTGTCTTAATGTTAATTTTTATCCTTCTTTGGAAACCTGACGAGGTAGTTTTAACTAAAATTGAGAAAATAGTTTTCCTATGTTGTACATCTCTTTTGAGAACCAATTTTTAAAACCATCAAATTCTTTAGCATATTCAGAACAATTGTGAAGTGAGATATTCCAGACTCTTTCTTCATGAACATTCTAATTTTGATTGAATTTGTTGAATATTAGGGGCAGCATAGATTATACATATTAGGGAATAACATTGAGAGACCTCATGATCAGGCTGAGGAAGAAGAAATTAGTTATGGGTTTTTTAAGGAATGTGTTAGGAAAACTTTTTTGACTGAAAGACTATTATAATTTTGTTCCTAAAAATGCTAATAATTTTGCATACAATGGTAGACATATCTTAGAATTATCATGGAGATCATGCTTTAACTATTGCTGTGTAAGCATATTCTCTTTTCTCTTGCTACTAAAATAACTGAACACATAAAAAATTTATTAGTTCCTCTGAAGACGATGTTCACGTTGATAAGTAAAACATACAAGTTTTTTGAATATGCGATTACAATTGAAGATTTGTAGTTTTTAAAAAATATGTTCAGGGGAGGAGAAATTTTATTCCTATTAAATTTAACATACCCATTTAAAAGATGTAAATGCACTGAACATAATTATAAATCTAATTTCTTTGGCTAACACTTAAACGAGTCATGTGCATTGAATACTATAGCATTTCGAAATAAGAACTTTTGTGTTTAACATTTGTAAAAACTATTTCTAGTTTACTTTATGCACCTAAAATTCTCCAAGTGTTTGTTGTTTTGCTAATCCTTAGTATTTGGGGTTACTAAATGGGACTAGTCATCTTCTTGATGTTCTCTTTTCCTGGGATTCTAATAGGAGTTACTTACTTTGACTTGAAGGTACAGCTTCTTTGACTACTGGAATCTATAGATTAGTCATGGAGATATTTAAGTTCTGAAAAAATTTAACAGGTCATTTTAAACTTTTAATTATGTTAAAGGTATTGCACAATCTTAATAGTTTTCTTGTTATACTATTTTAAAAAAATACCTGAGCTTACAAGATTTCAGAAGACTTATTTTCTGAACTAGTTTTGATTTCCACCTCAGATAGAAGTTTCAGTGTTTTATAACCAGTGTTAGAATCCCAAAATAACAGAAGAGACCTCAAAGATGGTATAAGCCAGGATCTTCCAAACTGTGGTAGTTTGAAATCAATTTAGGTTATCTGTGGCATTCTGAAAAATTAAATATAAAATAGGAAACATCAGAGTAAAATTCACATTAGGAATAGACAACTATTTCATTCAGTAATACATAGATTTGTGTGTGTGCTGGATTATAGTGTAAAAACGTCAAAGTTTGAAAACGTGTGCCTTCGACACGTGAGGAGACTAAATCCCAGAGCTTTGGTGAGTTGTCCTGGGTCACATAGTTGATTAGTAAAAACTTGAGTAGGACTGCCGCTCACATTTTGACCCCAATAGATACTGCCAGTTAGTTAACAGTGCATTTTAGTCGAATTCCCATCACAAGTACATGGTAGTGTCAGGAAGTTAATAACTTCCTATCCTAGGAGAACTCTGTAGAAATAAGATCAGTGTTTCATGAATTAGAAACAGCAAGAATATTAAAATAATTTTTATTTAAATTTGAAACTTGTAAATGTTTAAACTTGACACGCTATTTTTTTAATGGAAGACAAAATCTGTATTTTAAGGCTATTTAGACTATTTTGCCTTCTTCCTTAGTACTTATTTCAACAGAAAAGAATGAACAAAAAAATATATTTTGCCAACATTTCTCTGTTCTGATTGAGCAAAATCACTAGAATATCTATGTGTTGTGGTTGCCTGAAGGAAGGATATGGAGAACAGTGACCTAGTCAGTCAAGTTCATTAAGAGTTGATGGTAGTAATAGCACTTAGGAAGCCAATTTGTGCTCTTAGAATTCAAACCGTGTGCCTAAATCTCATGAACTCATTAATTAACATTCCAAAAGAAGGCCTTGATTTTCATTTGGTCCTGAAAATTTTAGCATTTGCATTATAGTTGGTTCTTTACTGTGTTTGTTTTACATACTCTTTAAAAAGTACTAGCTTTAAAGACAAAAGCAAGATTTTTTTGTTACTCTTTAAACTTAAACAGGTTTTTCTAATGTATATGAAAGAATACTATGATAAACTCCCAGGAACGCATCACCCGGCTTCAAGAGTTATGACAAAATGGCCAGTCTTTCTGCCTCTGCCCACTCTTCCACTTTTGTATTATTTTGAAAGCAAATCCCAGACATATAATCTCATCCACAGATACTTTTTAAAATTACTTTTGAGCTTTTTAAAAACTTATTTACTAAGGTAGTACAGTTTTTTATATTCTATCTCAGTGGCATTATAGGGTTACCTTGAATTATTTACTCTTTTCTTTGATTTTTAATTATACTGCTGAACTAAATTTTAGAATGTATGGGCTATTCAGTACCCTTTAGTCAAGTGCTGTTTTTATGTCCTTGCCGTAAGCTATGCAAAAACGTTCTCACTGAATAAGTTTCAATAAATTAATATGTTTTTAGTGTATTTATTTAAATGCTTTTAAAAAAATTTTAGAGGTCTGTAAAAGGGAATTATTGAAAATAAAAATGTTTACTAATTTCTTTGGAGAAACGGCATTACATTTTATCTAAATTACTATATTTTCTTAAAAAATTATTTTTTAACCTAAATGATAAAAATCATTTTGGGACTGAGCAGGTATACACTGACCCATTGAAGTGTTCAGGGCATCCTTTGAGACCTTAGTCTTAGATTAGCTATGTACTAAATAAAGTAGCCATATATTAATAGACCAGCATATACAAATGGAGGAAGGTTTTGTTTTCTTATTCCGGGGATTTACTGTTTCTGTCATAGTATCAGCTGTATGGGATTCTGGAAATTACTTGTTCTTAATAATAAGAAAGTCTAGGATTTTTTTTTTTAAGTTTTAAAACTATCTAAAATTCTCTTGGAAATAGTTAATTTTATAGTTTCCCAGTGCTGTTAGAATATAACACTGAAAACTAAAACTTTTTATTTTGTTCATCTTAAATTTATGCTCCCCCACATATACAATAATATATTGATAAATAACTGTTGCTACCATATTTCTGAGAGTCCAGAACTGGTATATATACATTAGTAATTTGTGAAGCTATTTTTGTACTGATAAATTTTAATAACAGTTTGATTTTATTAATGAAAAATAGGCTCTTTTAAGCACTGATTATATTTAAATTCTTTTAAGGTTTAGATAGTATATTCTTATGGTGCTGCTAGTATACATTTTGGGGCTACTGCATGTATCTTCTGTTAAAGAGATTTTTCTGCCACTTTGTGTGTTTGCAACAGGTATTCATTAAAGGACGTATGCACAGATGTTACTTGTTAGTATATTGATTTTGCTTTAAACCAGTATAACCACAATTTTACTCAAATTTATGAAATCTGGGTGGGTTCATTTCATTTCTATTTAATAGAGTAATTTCTTCATATCAGAGTTTCAGAAAGTTACTGCTTTAAAACGGATTAGGGATTTTTGTACAATTTCAAAAACTAAATTTCGTAAGAAAATTTATACACTGTTTTAGTTACGTGTTAAAATTTTTTAAATAGTGCTTTATTTTGAATTAAACACCGTTTGTACTTACTTGAAAGATGATACAAACAAGAAAAAAGTGAATGACTGTTAGGAGCTCTGGGGTACTATACTCCCCCAGCTGTGCCATCTGTCTCCCATTTTTATGAATAATAGGCAAAACTTACAAGAGCATAGTTAGGAAATAAAGTAGAAATAATCTCTGTGGCTAACTTTTGTTTGGGTAAAATATTATCTGTAAAACTGGAACTTGATTTCACAAGAAGTGTCTTATCATTAATACCATTGCAGGTGAAAAATTGAAGTTGTAGAATTCTCCTTTTTGTTACAGTTACAAACGACTTAAATAATATTCTTCTACCATGGAACCTCAAAAATTAGGTTAGGATTTTTAAAAATTAATTTGAAGGCTAAGACAGATTATGAGAGATTGTAGTATAACAATTTAGAGATGTCAGAATTTCTTTTACCATAATTGTGAACAGATAACATTTTATAGGAAGTGCTGTAGTAATTTCATAATATATACAGTTTACATTCTCTGGGAGGTGAGAAGCAATTTATGTATTTTTAAATAAGATGCAGGGCGCCTGGGTGACTCAGTTGGTTGGGCGACTGCCTTCGGCTTGGGTCATGATCCCTGGGTCCTGGGA